ATTAACCAAGGAGATAAAAGACCTGTACTTGGAAAACTCTAAGAGAAGAAAAAAATTAAAGAAAACACAAATAAATGGAAGGATATATCATGCTTATGGATAGGAAAAAAGAACATTGTTAAAATGTCCACGCTATCGACAACAATCTACAAATTCAATGCAATAACTATGAAAATACCAATAGAATTTTTCACAGAAATAGAACAAATAATGCTAAAATTTTTATGGAATGACAAAAGACTCTGAAAAGTCACAGCAATCTTGAGAAAGAATCAAGTTTGACATACCAAGCTACTTGATATCAAACTATACTACAAGGCTATAGTAATCAAAACAGCATGGTACTGGCATAAAAACAGACACATAGATCAGTGTAACAGAGAGCCCAGAAATAAACCAACACCTATATGGACAATTAATCTATGACAAAGGAAGCAAGAATGTACAATGGGGTAAAGACAGTCTCTTCAATAAATAGTGTTGGCAAAACTGGACAGATACACATACACACACACACACACACACAAAACAACAATGAAATGAGACCACTTTCTTATACCCTATACAAAAATGAACTCAAAATGGATTAAAGTCTGAACAACATAAAACTCCTAGAAGAAAACATAGCCAATAAACTCTTTAATGTTGGTTTTAGCAGTATTTTTTGGATATGTCTTCTAGGGCTAAGACAATCAAACCAAACATGAACAAATGGGACTACATAAAATGAAAAAGCTTTTGCACCTCAAAGTAAACCATCAACAAAACAAAAAGGCAACCTTCAGAATGGGAGAAGACATTTACAAGTGTTATGTCCTATGTAGGATTAATATTTAAAATATATGAAGAACCCATACTGCTCAAAATTTTTAAAAAATGCAATTAAAAATTGACAGAAGACATACATAAGACATTTCTCCAAAGAGGACATATAGAGAGCCAACAGACACATGAAAAGATGCTCAGCATCACTAATTATCAAGGAAATAAAAATTAAAACCACAATGAAATATCAACACCTATCATCAATAAATCAACAAATGACAAGTGTTGATGAGGATGTGGAGAAAGGGAAGTCTCATGCACTGTTGGTGGGATTGTAAATTGGCACAGCCACTATGGAAAACAGTGTGGAGGTTCCTCAAAAAATTAAAAATAGAACTACCATATGACCCAGTGATTCCACTTCTGTGTAATTATTTAAAGTAATCCAAAACACTAATTCAAAAAGGTATATGCATCCTGATGTTCATTGCAGCATTATTTATAATAGCCAAGATGTGGAAGCAACCTAAGTAGCCATTGATAGACAAATGGATAAAGAAGATGGTGCACATATATATATGATAGACTATTAATCAGCCATAAAAAGAACAAAATCTTGCCATTTCTGACAATGTGGATGGACCTAGATAGTATTATGCAAAGTGAAAAATGTCAGACGGAGAAAGACAAATCCCACATGATTTCACTTATATGTGGAATCTAAAAAACAAAATAAATGTATAAACAAAACAGAAACAAACTTATAGATACTGCGAACATTTTGAAAGTTGGGGTTTTTTTTTGTTTTTTGATTTTTTTTAAAGCCGAGCCATCCTGCCACCTGTTGGCAGCTCAGCGGCTGCTCAGCTCGGGCTGGGACTCGAACCGCTGTTGCTCAGAGCTCAAACTCTTGAGTGAGCTCTTAACCAACTGAGCCACTCGGCTGGCCCGAGCACATTTTGATGGTTACCAAAAAGGAAGGTGTTTGAGGGAAAGAGTGAAATAGGGAAGGGATGTATATGTACAAAATGCCAGTTATAAAAACAGCCATGGGGATGTAAAGTACAGCATAGGGAATATAGTCAGTAATATTGTAATAACTATGTATGGTTAGATGGGTACTAGACTTATTGGGGTGATCACTTCATAAGGTATGTAAATGTCTAATCACCGTGTTATACACCTGAAACTAATAGAATATTGTATGTCAAGTATAATTGAAAAATAAATTAATAAAAAGAAGCTACTATTAAATTAATCCCAAACAACTGGCCTTCCAACATTTCTTTCAAGTCTTGTGATAATGTCAGAAGAGGAGTAATGATTAAAGCCCTATTGCTTGATAGCGTTTTTACAAAGAATTTGTAGACCACAAAGTATGTTTATTCTACAGAACAAGTTATGATGGTTTGTTGAAGTAGGGGGCCTGCAACATCTTATCAAGTCAATAAAAATAGATTATTCTTCAGTTTCTCTACTTTCATCATTCAGTTTCCATTTTGGATTTTGCTGAATAATATGTTTTTCAATAAAAGCATATTAGCTGGATCAAGTACCAGCTAAGCACAAAACCTTTAACTAATAGCATTATCTAGGCAACACTCAGTGTCTTTGAGATGACACCTGTTTAACAAAAGACAGTAAGGTTGCTAAAGTAGTCTCCATTTTATATTTAGAATTCAAAACTTCAGCTTCCTTATGTTTGTGGACCTAATGCATAGAGTCCAAAAATCCCTAAATATTTAACTAGATTCTTTTTAATGTATATTGGCAGATTTAGTGTTCATTTCTACATTTGCACGCACAATCAATATTCCTTTAGAAACTATTACACTTCACCTCTTCTTATGCTTTCTCTTGTAACTTTATTTCACTGTGTTGTTGACATCTTTGATAGACTATAGAAATACTTCCTATTCTTTAGAGATTCCTAGGATTCTGACTTGAATCAGGGAAGAGGACTAGTCAGATGACGAGATACGTGGGAAATGTAGGAAAAACAGGAGCTTAAGCTGATTTGGGGAATTCAGAGGGAAAGGAGTTTTTTAGTTCAGTAGAGCCATCATTGACAACTTCCTCTCCCTATCCTCCCTCTCCCAACCACCAACAGGATATTACTGATCCCTTACCTGGGTGGAGCATATTCATCCATAAGGGATTACATTAGAAGTATGTGAAACATTGGGACAAATCACAGGAATCCTGTCTTATAGGAGCATATTGAAGCAATATTTGGACCACAGACAAGACCTGAATTGGGGCGGGGGGTTGCAAATTAAAAAACAACAGCAACAACAAGAGAGTCATAGCATAGTAGAGGGAGAAAGCAGATGGCAGTCTGGCTAAGCTCTGTAGACGAAACATAGATGCTTCTTTACTCACTCCCAGTATACTCTAATGGTTTTTAAAATGAAGTCAGAATAAGAGGACACTGCCTCTCCTTGACCCTCATTATTCTCTGAGTTCAGGTCCTTATTATCTTTTACCTAAATTTACATATTATCTAACCTTTAAATAGCAACAATAATTTCTTAATATCATTCAATATGCAAATGTCTCCAATTGTCTTACCAAAATTTTCCTCTTGTCTCCTTTTCAGTCTCTTTGATTCCAGTCTTATTCCTCCTTCAATCTATCCTTCATTGAGGAGCTAGTTAAATCTCAGAGAAATAGCTCTGCTCATGTCACTCCCCTTATCAAAACAATTATATTTTATCAGCCAGCGTTTACTTGAATTCCAAATATATAAAAATAAAAGATAGTTGTATTTTGTATAAAATATGCATTCTTGGACATCTCTCAAAATTCAAAACTCCTATAACTTAAATATAATCCTGATAGAGAATGGAACCTTGTTTTGTTTACTGGCTAAAGTGGCTCCACCATCTCCAAGGCCATCTTCAAGGTCCAGAGTGTTGTCCTGCAATGGCATATACATTTCACAATACCCTTGACCTTTGAATTCATGGACTTCTTAGAAAGTTTTTGATTAGGTTGAGGTTTTATGTTATTTTATAATATACGAAGTTCTTATTTAGTTTGTATTTTTTTAATTTAAAAAGCTGCATAGTTTGATTTTGCATATAATACAACTGACTGCTGCATCATTATTTCCTACGTGTATTGTCTGTTATATCTCTACAGAAAAGAGTATGTTTCTTACCCCTTCTCTGCCTAGACAACTCATTAATTCTCTTAGACCCATCTAAAATTCAGTTCCTCCTTGAAGCCTTCCATGATCCTGTCTAGATAGAATAAATCATTCCATTTTCTTTTTCTGAAACACCTCCTATATGTCTGCTGCATCACTTATTATTGTATGACTTATAAGCTACTCACATAATTCTATCATTATGGTTAGTATATTAGTATGCACTTTGTGGCTATACCTTATTCATGTGTGCCGTCACTGGCTTAGCACCTATAGTGGATATGTAGAAAGTGCTGGGCCGGCCGAGTGGCTCAGTTGGTTAAGAGTTAGCTTAAGAGCGTGAGCTCTGAGCAACAGGGCCACTGGTTCGATTTCCATATGGACCAGTGACGCTGCACCTGAGCTGAGCTGCTGCTGAGCTGCCAACAGGTGACAGGATGGCTCAGCTGGTGAGAGCACTTGCTCCTAACAACAAGACTGCCTGTTCGATGGTGGGCTATACCCGCCCACAACTAAGACTGAACTCGGCACCTTGAGCTGAGCTGCCACCCGGATAGCTCAGTGGATAGAGCGTGCACTCTTAACAACAAGGCTGCCCATTCGACTCCTGCGTGGGGTCATGACTAAGCCCACCCACAACTAAGATTGTAACACAGCACCTTGAGCTTAGAGGCCACAAGCTGCCGACGGGCAGCCAGAGGGCAACTGGCGCCTTCCACAACTAAGATTGAAGAACAACAACTTGGCTGGTCCCCCTCTCCAATTCCCCAACACAGTTCCCCTCTCCCAATTCCCCAATTAAAAAAAAGTGTTGACTTTAATTAATCTTTAAGAATTATCATAATGATTAAATAAAACAATCTATAGCAATTGCCTGATACAGTGCCTAATGCTGGTGCTCAGTCAAGTTTCCCATCCTTTTTCATCTTTAGTGTACTCCTGCTTCATTTCTTTCAACACCTTATATATTCTGTCCATGAAAAGATAATGGAAATTTCTTCTTTCATTGCTCACATATCTCTTCTTCAGGGCACTGACACTGACTGTTTTGCATCTCTCATTTGTTTATTTATTTATTTTATAGGTCACTGACCACATTCAGATCAGTGATCCCCTAAAGACAACAGACAAAGATAATGTGACATCTCCACCACTCCTGGATGCCAACCCCATGGAGAACCCATCACTTCTTAATGACATCAAGATTGAGCCACCAGAAGAACTTCTGGCTAGTGATGTCAACCTGCCCCAGGTGGAACCAGTCGACCTCTCCTTTCACAAGCCCAAGGCTCCTCTTCAGCCTGCCAGCATGCTGCAAGCTCCAATACGTCCTCCCAACCCACAGTCTGCTCCTGTAGTGTCCACGTCAACAGCTGACATAGGCACTTTAACAAGCATCCCTACCGTTCTGACTTCAGGCCCTATCCTGGCCTCCTCTCAGGGCTCTGGTGGCCCACAGATCTTACATGTGATTCACACTATCCCCTCAGTCACTCTGCCAAATAAGATTGGTGGCCTGAAGACCATTCCAGTAGTGGTGCAGTCTCTGCCCATGGTGTATACTACTTTGCCTGCCGATGGGAACCCTGCAGCCATTACAGTCCCACTCATTGGAGGAGATGGCAAAAATGCTGGATCAGGTCAGCACCAATGTACCCCTTTCCTGGGCCTCATCTTCATCCATCTGCTCTCTCTCTTTGAGTTATCTTATCTCTTATCTCTTTTCACCCCCTCCAATTATCCTTCCACAGCTTCAAGAGTAATCTTTCATAAACACTGTTTTTTTACATGTATCTTCAATACTTAAGAATGTACACTGACACTTCTTTGTTTACCCCTTGCTTCTTAAACTGGGATATGCATATCCTTGAATGAAATACTATGTATCTTCCTGGAACCTATATATGATTTGATAGTAAATAATTCTAAAACATTTTATATATTTTTCCTTGTTCTTTTAAAAACATTTTATATTTTAAAAATGATTTTATTAAAGAGAAAAATGTAAAATTTGAATAACCTTTTAAGATAAAACACAAACTTCAAAAATACTTTTAAGCTTACTAAGGTACCCACCTTGGGATTTTCCAGGAGAATGTGTTTATTTTTCTGTGCCATTAGGAATGCTTTGGTGGACAAGTTGAGAATGTTTCTAGCCCTATATCCTTAGCCAGCCTTAACTCCTACATATCCCAACACTGTACGTGTTCTCTTTCCTGCAGGTAAAATAGTCTTCTTTGAAATATTGCCATCTTCCCTGTGTTCTTCCTCATTTGTCATCTATCACCCTCCATTTTACTTTTTTACTTGCCTGTATTCTAAGTGTATGGGCATTCTTCCCAACTGAATTAGTAAATTCCTCAAGGACAAGACACATCTTATTTACCTTTGTGTATCTCCAGAGAACCTAACACAGTGGTAGTAGTTGTCTTGCAACAAATAATTTGATGAAAAAACTGGAAAATTTGCCCAGGTGAGAGTTCATATGCTGTAATGTTTCCTTTTGCTTAATTGTTAAAATAAGTTCAGAATCCAGAAAGGTATAAATTAAGTCACCCAGTCCTCAGACCCCTTCCTGGAAGCGTATCTACTTTAGTTTGTAATCAGCAATGATCAAAGAGAATTATATGGCTTCTTGAAATGGTTCAAGATATTTAGCTTCACCACATATGTAGAATTCCAATCAGGTTTTAATGTTGTGCCTTAGGAATGATGTTGGGAAACTGGAGTATAATTAGAGAAGAGAAATTAGGATGGTGAGAGGATTCAAATCCATGTCAACTGAGGAGCTGATAAATGTTTAGCATGAATTAAAAAGGCCACAGGGGAGATACGTGGGTGGAAAAGACAAGGATCTATCACACACACTTACTAAAAGTTTTCTACCTTTGAAATCCAATGCCTTATGATCATTCCATCACTAAATGTAGAAGATTAAAAAACCACATACTAAGCATCAAGTTCCTGATATTTTGCAGTATTCTTTTGAATAAAAATGCCATCATTAGGTAGTGGTTAATTTTGGTTATGATAAGTGTTCATAATCATCTTGTTTTGGGAATCCCCTGAGGGGGTTAATCAAAATATGATTATCAATTCTCAAACAGGGAGAGAGAGCCAAACAAAAAACAAAATTGGAAAATAAAATTATCTGTGTGAAAAGTTGCTGATATCAAGACAATGGTAGCACCAAGGGATGGTTTGACGGGTCTTTGAGTTCCCCCATAATACCCATCGGTCCACCAGAGCCACTCTAAATAGAATATGTTTTTAAATTGTTTAATGTAGTTTTGAGCTAAGCTAAGGCCATTAGCCCAGTAGTCTCCAAAATACCTTGGATGGTGGAGGTGCACAAAACAATTGGAGCACAAGAAGAAAATATCAAAATGTATGTCTGCATTTTCTCACCCCTTACATGTTACTTTGTTTATTTTTGATAATGTACACAAAATTTTAATATACGAATACATTTATATCACACACATGCAGACAAACACACATATTGAGATGCATGCTTAAAACTTTTTAGTGAATAATACACAGTCAATGTATGGAGGCGACTGCACTAGCCAAGTCCTTCCTTGTTCAATCCTATTGTCACCCTTAAGTTTCTTCTACATAGATGTTTTGAAGCTTTAACTAGATTTAGAAGACTGTTGACCATCTGATTGAGTTTTGTTAAGAGTCAGAAACATCAGTAATTGATAATAAGAAATATTTGAGGACTTCTCTCAACATAGGTGGAAGGGAAGGATGTAACATATATCAAGCACCTGCTAGGTACTAGGTATGTGTTTCATCTCATTGACAATGAGTTCTCACCTCTGGGTGAGCACAGACATTGATCTTAGGATAGCCATGGAACTATTTAGAGAGTTCTATTCAATAAACACACATTGAGCCTGACTTTTCAGCAGACCCTGACCTGGGGGCTGGAGATGGAGTTGAATCATAACTAGACTCTATCCTTGAAAAAGCTATCCTATCTCACTCACTATCCTAGAGAAGCTTATTCTAGTGGTACAAGAATGTTCCTTAATATACTTCCCTCAAACAAATTTCCGTTCCCGGCTATGCTAAAATATTTAGATGTTCTTCTCTTACTTCTACACCAGGGGTCGGCAAACTGCGGCTCGCGGGCCACATGCGGTTCTTTGGGTATGCTCAGTCTCAGAAGTTTGCCGACCCCGGAAGACCCTGGAAGCCAATCCTGTCTCTCATAACAATTTAAAAATTATTCAAGAGCCATAAATATATTTTGACATAATCACCATTATGCGAATATCCTTTAACAATTTTATAAATGAAATTCTGATAGTTTTATTTTCATTTTCAATTTTACTTCAGAGCTACATGTACATACCCAGAGCCGCATGTGGCTCGCGAGCCGCAGTTTGCTGCCCCCCTGGCGGCTCTTCCATCTCAAAAGTTTGCTGACCCCTGTTCTATACAATTACATTTCTTCTATCTTTGCTTTTTCTTTATTTCTCTTTCTTGCTGCTACTTCTTACTGTGGGGCCAAGCTGGGAATCCTGAAAATGATGAAAAGGGCATATATACTTTGTAGCCCACACTGCTCCTTTTCTTTGCTTTTAGTGAAAGTTGACCCAGCCTCCATGTCTTCACTGGAAATCCCAAGTGACAGTGAGGAGTGTGCAAATGAGAGTGGATCCTTGGCCTTACAAGGTATTCAGGGACTACAGCAAGAGTGAGTACTTTTGTCTTTACTTCAGGTCTGTCTCTGGGTATATATGTGTGTGTCTGTGGTAGAAGTGGAACAAATTCTTAGACAAAATAGTAAGAACTTGAGGACAATAAAATATAGGAAAACTGCCTTCCCAGCAATGGTTTAGGTTTGTGTGCACACATGTGCATAGACATGCATGTTATGACAGTTATGTTGTAATGGTAGATCATCAATTTTACCCTTGAAAAATCTGCAATTTCCTGTAAAGCACAGTTGCATACTATTTATCTAAGTTTAAAGGAGCCTTTTCTTCCAGTGTTGAAACTAATGAAATAGTTGGCTTGGGTTTTAGCAAAACATATATGAAAAATACATTTCTTAAAACATAAGATTGAAAGTTAGAGTGAAATGCTCACACTGTTTAGGAACAGAAACTGCCCAAGAAAACATTGCCAATTCCTAGAACCTGCACTTACTGAGCAGAATGGAACTAGTTGAGGGAATTGCTTGAACTATTTCAATTATTTCTTCTTTTGGGGGTCTATTGTTAAATTTGCATAAATTAAATGCATGTATGAGGTGGTCCCATTGTATATAAGTCCCTTTATTTAGCCTCCACTTTAAAATCATTCTTCGGCCCTATTTCTCTCTTTTCTTTTTTTCTTTCTTTCTTTTTTTTTTTTTTGCTCAGACCAGCAGCAATGACCCAAACGCAGGGAGAAGAGTCCCGTGACTTGAAGAGAAGACGGATCCACCAATGTGACTTTGCAGGATGCAACAAAGTGTACACCAAAAGCTCTCACCTGAAGGCCCACCACAGAATCCATACAGGTCTGTCCACCTCCACCCCACCCCCAACACACACACACACACACAGAGTATGTGAGAGATAGGAAGAGAAGAAAGCTTCAAACAGACTGATCCAGTTATACTCATGTGCACATTCTCCATTCATGGCTTTTACTCTTATGTCTTGTTCCTAATCTAAGGTAATTTCTATAAAACCTGCCTATGAATACACTAAGTCTGGTGTCTTCTGAATAGTCATCATTCACATCGAGCACCTGGGGAGTCTTTCTAATTGAGAAGTCCTAACATTTATGCAAAGATTAAGGCAGCTAAGACATTACCCTTTCCCTTGCTACCAGAGCCCCACAGGTTTTATGAGTATTGAAAAGCTCAAAGGTAGTTTAAGTGAAATTAAAGCAAGCTTTTGGAGCTCAGCACCAACCTACAATATGCCTTTGTTCATATTAGGTAAAATGGTGCACATTAGAAAAAAATAAGTAAAGCAGACCTGGGGATTCTGTTAAACTGGGGGGCCCCTTCCCCATCTGAAGGAGAACTGTCACTCAACTCCAACTACGTATTATGAAACTTCTTAAATTTTAAAGAAAAGCAGCAAATAAAGACTTTTATGTGAAATGTCCCAGATTTTGAATGTTAACATCTAACTAAAAAATTTGTATAACACTGGATGAAAAAAAAACCTGCCTATATACCAGATATAGCTTGTCATTCATCAGTTTACACCCTCTGCCTGGGAGTCTCCTCCTCCCAAATCATCTCCAGCTCAGAATTGAGACTTGGACACCCTGAAAAAGGAAGGGACCCTCCTTTCTTGGAAACATATGTTGTGTTACGTTTGCTGTGTTAGGATTTGTATAGAAGAGTCCAGAGTCCTAGTTGATATGCCCAGAGGCTATGATCAGGTGACTGATCTCCAGGTTGCATTGTTCCATCATTCCCATAACACTCATCTTATTAATTGATGTTTTGTTTGCTTCTCCTCCATGTTGAGTTGTTGGGTGGAGTCTTATTCCACTAACTACAGAGGGTGCCAAAAATATATACACATTTTAAGAAAGGAAAAAACTGTATTAAAATTGTAATGCTCGATATATACCAATAACAAAAGATGAATACAAGTCACATTTGACTTCTGCAACTACAAGAGGTGCTTCAAGTGGCTACCATCAGCCTAATTTTAATACAGTGTGTTTTCTTTCTTAAAATGTGTATATATTTTTTAGCACCCTCTGTGTATATGTATATGTGTATATGTAGTTGAAGCTGTGAGATGGGAATAAGCTTGCCTTGCTCAAATAACTGACAAAAGTCTAGCATAGCTAGGACATATGTAGTCCTAGCAGTGATTTGTGGTGGAAGCCTTGAGGTGCAGGAGTGGAAGGGAGGAAGACCACTTAAGAGGCTATTGTAGTGATCCAGGCCATAAATGAATGAATGAATGAATGAATGAATGAATGAGTAAGTAAGTGAGTGAGTAAGTAAACAAATAGAAATATATTTATAAACCTGAATTTTTAACTTGCAAAAGTAGAATAGTTTACTGGACTGTCATGTACCCCTGACCCAGCTAAACAACTGTATCAGTATATGGCCAATTTTATTTCTTCTACACCCCTACCAACTCCCCACACTGTATTATTTTGACCCCAATTCCAGACATCATATTACCTTAGTTGTAAGCACTTCAGAATATATCTTTAAAAGACAGATTTAAAAATAAACACAATATTAATAGTGCATAAATTTTTTTAATATCAAAGTCTCCCAATTGTCTAATATTTTTTTTTAAGTTTGATCAAATCAATATCTAAATAAGGCTCTTACATTGAATAACATAGTTAATATGAGAAGGAGCCTACTGTGCAGAACGCTTGAAGAAAGAGTGTTGCTCTTAGCCAGGCAGAGTACAAAAGTGGTGAGATGGGAATAAGCTTGCCTTGTTCTAATAACTGACAGAAGTCCAGCATTGATAAGGCATATAAGTGCAGTGGTTGGTGGTGGAAGCATTGAGGTGCAAGAGTGGAAATGGGAAGACCATTTAAAAGGTTATTTAGTGATTCATGCAAAAAATGATGAGAGCCTTACTAGGATGTTGGGAGTGGATGTGGAGAGAAGGAAGTGTATTAATGATTGAGAGGACATTGATGATTCAGATTTCTGTTTTGGGTGACTGGGGTGGATGTAGGTGCTAGTTACAATAATAGAAAGTTTGCCAATGATAACACAGTAATTGGTAAAAGCCACCTGGAATCACACATTGGTATGCAACCTAGGTATACTTTTCTCTGTTGCTGGTACTCCATAGGTTCTTTGGAAGTGAGGAAGTTGCAGAAACGCCTGATTCATTGCCATCCAAAGATTAGGGTTCATTTCAAAGGGTCCCTGAGAGTGATATATCTGTCTCTGGTAGATATTCTCTCAGCAGAGACATGAGGCTCTTCCTCATCTGAATACTGCCTCTCCTGTGCAATGAAGCCATTCATCTCTGAGCTGACAATTATACAAAGCAGAAAATACAGATACAACAATTGCCATTAAACATACTGTCAAGCCCGTTTTTAATAATAGCATCACACATTCATCCAGACTCAAAATTTATCATTGATTCTTAACATTCTCTTATGCCCTCAGTTATGTGTTTCTAAAGTTCTATTATTTATTTCTTCAAATACCTCTTTTACTGAGGATGTAGACATAATTGCCAAGAGCATATATTATAAAACTACACTGTCTGGATTTGATAGCCCAGTCTAACACTCAGCTGAAAGTTGCTTCACATTTTTTTGCCTCAGTTTCCTTGTATGGGAATATTAATAGTGTAAAAACACTTAGTGGAGTAACTGGAATATAGTAAACACTCAGTAAATGTTAGCTATTATTAATATTCTTTCAATTCCAGATTCATTGCTACCTGTTAAGCTTTTTGTCTTAATTTATTCTACCCCCCCTAATTTTATTGAGTTATATTTGACCATTAAAATATATATATATTAAAGATGTACAATTTGGTGGGCCGGCCGTGTGGCGCGATGGTTAGGAGCTGGCTTGGGACGCCAGAGGGCCCCGGTTCGGATCCCACATATGAGGGTCGGTGACACTGCCCTCCACAGCTGAGATGCTGAACAACAGCTCGACCTGGAGCTGGGCTGCTGTGAGTCGCCAGCGTTGGCATAGGCTGCAGCCCCTGTGGCAGTGGGTTGCCATGGGCTGCCGTTTGTAGCCGGCAGCCAGCGTGAGCGGCCAGCAGCCGCTGTGAGTGGCCGTCCAGAAGCCGGCGACTGATCTGCCTCACCCGGGAAGAGCGCAATGATGGTGCCAACTTGGGCCAGTGAAGCAACGTCCTCCACAACTAGACCAAAGAACAAAAGGACAGCAACTTGTCTGTTCCCCTTCCCCCAATTCCCCAAAAAAAATCTTTAAAAAAAAAAAAGATGTACAATTTGGTGATTTGATATACATATACATTGTGAAATATTAATCACAATCAAGCTAATTAACATATCCATCACCTCACTTAGTTACATGTTTTGGTGTGGTTACAATGCCTAAGTTTCTACCCTCTTAGCAAATTCAAGTATATGGTGCAATATTTGTTAACTATTGTCACATTGTTGTACATTAGATTCCCAGGGCTTATTTATATTGCAAAACTGAAACTTTGTATCTCTTTACCAACATCTCCCCATACCCTACTCCCAGCCCCTAGTAACCACCATTCTATATTTTGTTTCAATGAGTTTGACATTTTTATATTCCAAATATTACATGAGATCATACAGTATTTGTCTTTCTGAATCTAGCAATCTAGCTTATTCTACTTAGCATAATGTCCTCTAGATTTCATCCATGTTGTTACAAATGGCAGGATTTCCTTCTTTTTTAAGGCTGAATAATATTCCATTATGTGTGATCAAACAATACGGTGAATGTTTAAATAAAAAAATTATTACAGTAAAAGACACATTGCCATTAATCCCCCTTAAAATACTCCCCCTCACTTTGTACACACTTTTCCCATCATTCTTGCCACTTTGTGAAGCAGTTCTGGAAGTCCTCTTTTGTGAGTGTCTTTAGTTGCACTGTTGTGGCTGCCTTGATATCCTGAATCATTTGGGGAAGAGCCAGAATTTTCACGGTGCCAGATCCAGTGAATAAGATAGGTGGGTGAGGACACACTGTAATGTTTTTATTTGACAGAAATTACCATATACCAGAAGCAATGTGTGACACGGAACATTGTCATGATGGAGGATGATTTATAGCACACTTTAAAACACACATTCTCTCAACCATAGGTCTCACCCAACTGACAGCACCAAACAAGTTGAAACTTGTCACACACTGTTACTAAGGTTTGACGCGCTGCTTCCCGTATTGAAGATCCCTGTCTTTCTGTTGGATGGCTCTCTGCAGCAGCATTCACTGTATATTGAGATCACAACGGAAAGGCTCCATGTCACACATCGCTTCTGTTATGGCAATTTGTGTCAAAAACATTATGGTGTGTCCTCATCCACCTACTCACAGGAGCTAGCACCGTTTGACTCTGGATCTTCCCAAAGTCAAAATGACCATGAAAGGTAAACATTTTGAATCAATTCACAACATTGAGGCAGCCACAACAGCGCAACTAAAGACACTAATAAAAGAGGACTTCCAGAACCGCTTCAGAAAGTGGCAAGAGCGATGGGATAAGTGCTTCTGAAGCGAGAGCAAATATTTTGAGGGGCATCAATGGCAATGTGTCTTTTACTGTAATAATTTTTTTATTTAAACATTCACTGTATGTTTTGATATATATTTGTGTGTGTGTGTATATATATATGTGTGTGTGTGTGTGGGGGGGTGTTTTCTTCTATGCAGTTTATTGTTTCAGGTATTATGTTTAGGTCTTTGATCCATTTTGAATTAATTTTGGTACATGGTGACAGATAGCAGTCTAGTTTCATTCTTTTGGACATGGCTTTCCAATTTTGCCAGTACCATTTATTGAAGAGGCATTCTTTTCTCTATTATATGTT